AAAAAAAAAAGGAATATCAACCACAGCTGTGCCTGTAAAAAAGGGCCAACCGACAACAGTCTAAAACCGAGAAGAGGAAATGTCTACGTGTTTCTTGTTCTCTGTCCTCCCAGCCCCTGGTGGCAGGTTTGAGACAATCCCTTCACAACAGAAAGACCACATCCAGGATCTGAAGACCCTGAGGTCTTCTCACACACCCCTTCTCTGATGTCCAGCTCTCCACTGCAGTGTTCCTGGCAAGGAACCACCCTTTCTCCTGAACGCCTCCAGCCACAGGGAGCTCTCGACCACTGGGACGTGTCCAGCATCTCACCTGCGATTCCTCTACTGGCTGGAAAGTTCTCCCTCACCTAACAGGTTAAACTTGGGGCCATGGAACCTCCACTCACTGGTTTAGTTTTGCCTTTGAAGTCAAAGGGGAAAACATTGTCTCTTTCCCCCAAGACAGTCCTCTTCTGAGTCTCCTTTCCACGCCGGCATGGTTTTAAGTGCCCTCACCAGGCTGCCTAGGGCAGTGGTTGGCAAACTGCGGCTCTTTGGCCCCTTGAGTTTTTAGCAAAGGCCAGCTTCGGAGGACCCTAATTAAGTTAATGACAATGTACCTACCTAGAGAGTTTAAGTTTTAAAAATTTGGCTCTCTCTTGCCAAAACCCGTTTGGCTCAGCGATAAAGCGTAGGTCTGTGGACTAAAAGGTCCCGGGTTCGATTCCGGTCAAGGGCATGTACATTGGTTGCGGGCACATCCCCGGTAGGGGATGTGTAAGAGGCAGCTGGTCGATGTTTCTCTCTCATCGACATTTCTAGCTATCTCTCTCCCTTCCTCTCTGTAAAAAATCAATAAAATATATATTTTTTTAAAAAATAAAATAAAAAATAAAAAAAAATTGGCTCTCAACCGAAACCAGTTTGGCTCAGTAGATGGAGCATCGGCCTGCGGATTGAAGGGTTCTGAGTTCGATTCCGGTCAAGGGCATGTGCCTTGGTTGCAGGCACATCCCCAGTGGGGGATGTGCAGGAGGCAGCTGATCAATGATTCTAGCTTTCTATCCCTCTCTCTTCCTCTCTGTAAAAAAACAATAAAAGATTTTTTTTTTAAATAAAAATAAAAATTTGGCTCTCAAAAGAAATTTAAATCGTTGTTCTGTTGATATTTGGCTCTGTTGACTAATGAGTTTGCAGACCACTGGCCTAAGGTTTTCTGGACAAGATCTGGTTTGTTAATAACATCTTCCAAACGTGGCTCCCTTACCAGGACGTCAAATCTCTGCCGCAGCTGTTCCCGGTGTGAAAACACATGCATGTGCACGTAGGAATCAAGTTCCTCTAACTGGATTGTCACTAATTCCACATTTCACATCACACTGGCAAACACCTTGGGGAAAGCCAAGTGTACTGCACCCACAGCATGCTCTTGATCAACCACCATAGTTGCTCTATCAAGAAAAGAGAGATAAGAAAGAAGGAAAGATGCCCAGAAATTGGTCCTGCCCCCCACCTGTGGCCCGACAGCACTGGGGCGGGCAGGACCCGCACCTTCATTGCCCTGGACACTGATCTGTTAACTCCGCCTCCGATCACGTTCATCTCCACGGAAGCCAGAGCTCCCTGCCTCAGCTGAGCTGCAGGCCAGGTCACAGGGTCAGATTTTTGCTTGTTTGAATGCAGGGATAACAGAAGAGTTAGAACGATAATAAAGTATGTGTTTGCATCTTCTTCCTCCCCCCACGTAAGAGGCCAGCACTGGGCTTCCTAAGGCACCTGGGTGGGACCTTGTGCAAAGGTCCTGCAAGGGGTGGGGAAGGAGAAACACTGTGCATAGGGGAGACCGATGAGGTAAATCATGGAGAGGATGGATGCTTCCCAGAGACGAGGCAGAAATGGGGCTGGGGTGGCCGGGACTAGTGCCCTGCAGGCCCACAGTACGTGTCAGCAGAGGGCTCTGTCGGGGGCATTCTAACCCTTCCAGAGCAGTGTCCAAGCAGCAAGGGGTAGGTTCCAGGGCTGAACCCCAGCATGGTGGACAGAGAAGTGACTGTAGAGATAGTGAGCAAATGGAGCAGGGCTAGTCAGTATCTCTGGCTTCTTGCCCCACAGAGGGCCAGGAGTCCTGGGATGGGGGCCAGCCTGAGAGGTGGCTAAGGTTGAATTTCCAGCCTCCCCACTGGATAAATCCAGATCACAGAAATAAAGGCATGTGTTGTGTATCCCAGTCATTAATAAAAATCACACCCACCACATCTGCTGTCATCACTCCAGGGATTTCCCCCTTTGGATGTTATACAGTTGATTTTGGGATCCAAGAATATTGCTTCATATTTATTCATGCTAAGGTTTTCCTTTGACACATCAAAGCAGCCTTTTGATTTATCATTTTATAAGCTCTTCCGCTAAGATTTACAAAGACTTGCAATTTGGGCTGCCTATTTCCAATCAGTAATGACAGGTATTGAACCTGGCTGGTCAGAGCAGAGGGCAGAGGGCAGAGGGCAGAGGGCAGAGGGCAGAGGGCAGGCGCACACTTGCTGCCAAAGGCTTCCTTGCCTGCTGGCAGTGACACGCCGATTCGTGAGCTCTCTCTACAGCTTGTTCAGTCTCCCAGAAATTCATCTAACTAGACTGCAGTCCATTCCACGTTTCTCTGCTTTGTTCATAAAGACATATTGTCAAATGCCTCGCTGAAACCAAATGTACTCCACCTACTACATGTTCTCAATCTATCAGCACAGAGATCCTCTCAAGGAAAAAGAAACAGGAAAGTAGGGAAGGACAGAAGGAAACTCGGTTCATCTGGCCTGATTGGCTCTTGGCAAATCCATACTGGCTCTGAGTGGTCCCTACTGTCTTTTCTAAGGACTCCATCAAATCTGGTCCAATCCTCCCCCAGCTCATCACTAAAGATCGTGTACCCCACCCCACCCCTACCGAATATCCCAATGCCCCTGTGCTGGTCTCCAGAGATGTATGAACCAGAGTTCACAATCAGACAAGAAGACAAGGAGGAGGAGGAAAGCAAAGAAAAACTGGAAACATGATTTTGATTTGATTTTATTAATAAGTCTAAAGAAAATCTCATTGAATCAAGGATATCATATAAATTATGGTGACCTGCATATAAAACCTGGCATCAAGTTTGGCCTTTTAGAAACATTTATGTATAAAAATGTGCGTTAAAATCTGCACCAGAACACAATGCGGAGGCTGGCGCCCCAACAGGAGCGCTTACAAAGGTGGGTCTGGTCTGCAGACGCGGAAGGTCTTGGTCCTACAGCCGCAGGCTGAGCCATGTCAAACGGTCTGCTCCGAGGAGGGGCCTGAGGAGCTGGCCGCTGAAGGCAGGACCTGTGAGCACCGACACGCCGGCGGCCTGGCGTGAGGCAGAGATGGTGCTGGGAAGAAGGGCCGCTTCCCTCGTTCCTGGGCTCGGAGGGTTCGGATCGCTACACAAACCACCTTCCACTTTGGGGAACTTCTGCAATTTCCAGATATGTTTTTTCCAAGTAAGCTAATTCCAAACTCAAGGAGCCAAATCATATAATTAGCCTGATTTTCAGGACTAAGAACTAATTCTATGTCATTTTCTGCGGGTTAAGGCTCTGAAATAGCTCTCAGAATGGCCATCATCACAACAGAAAAATGTAACAAGGATGACCTCAATCTATTTCAGTCTTAGACCAAATGCAACTGAGCAAGTCTAGCCCAGAAATTATACTTCCCAGACAGTGAAATGAAAAGCAACTTTGATCCACATTGGAATTCCCCATTCTGGGTGCAAACTATCTTTGCACAAGGCAGCGGCAGGCTCTGGGAGAGGCAGGGGCACTGTGCACTTCTGTCTCCAAAGAGAAGGACGCAGTCCCTTCCCTGGCAGGCCTGTCACCTGTCTGAGCAGGGTCAGTGGGAACTTCCTTTCTGCCCAGGGCCATTTGGGCATTTTTAACATCATTCGTGGGCCATACAAAGTTACCAACTTAAAAATAAGCCTGCTATGTTTGGTCAATCATTTAATTAATTCACTCCCCCTAATGCCTTGGCAGGGCCAGGCCAAGCGATATAGGGCGGGGCGTTCACCACTCTGGTCTACTGGCTTATTCCTCCACGGAGGAGCTGATGTCCCTGGCCTGCTCGTCCTGTGGCTCTGTGGCAAGTGGCAACTGTCCCAGACTCCGTTGCTGAGCTGCTGCCCAAACAGTCGGGATGCCAGGCTGGGAGCAACACAAAGGGGAACCTGATAGAAATGGAGGGAGGGCATCAAGGAGCAATAGGAAAGGCGATAGGGCAGGACGAAGCAGCCTTGTGGACCGTCAGGAGCTGGCAAGGGGAGCAGTTGCCTCTGCAATCTCAGGGCTCCTAACAGTAACGGAAAGGGCTGGGAGCCGTCCATTCACACACCCTCACCCCTTCGCCCATGATTCCCACAAAGGAATCAGCCGGCCCCCATTTCCATCTGGAAGCAGGGATTTTCTCAGCTTCCTCCGGGGATGGGTCTTTTTTTCCCTTCCCAGTCCTGCTTGGGTGTCCTGCCACAGGGTGACCTGACACTTCCTCAACTGTGGCAAGAGGCGAAAAGACAGATGAGCCTCTGAATCACAAATTAGGCAGACAGCCTGCAGGCCGATGGGCTGTCCCTGAGGGCTCTCTCGGGCTGTGTGTTTCAGGGCCCAAATGCTCCGAGGCAGAGACAGGTGCTCTCGGTGTCCCTGGGGCCTGACACCGGTCATTACCACGTGGCTCTTTCAGGCTGGGAGGCCAAGCTAGGTGGCTCCTTCACAAAGTCTTAGGGCCTTTAGTCTACTTGAAAGTGACCTAACACCACCCTCTAGTGGAAATTATAAATAAAACAAGGGCCATGCAGCCAGTTCACCTTCTGGTACCAGTGATTTCAAGATTCGCCATAAAACAGAACAAAAACATTATCGTTAACAATGTCATCATCTTAAAAAAAAAAAGGCGGGAGTTTACAAGCCATCCTTAGGTTCCTGACGGAGGCGCTCCTGGGCCCCTCAGAGTTTGGGCAGGCTGCCTGCCGGTGCCAGGATGATGCCAAAGACGTAGAATAGCCCCAGCAGGAGGTTGAGTTTGGCGGTCCTCTGGGGCAGTTTGTTGAAAGCCTGGCTCCGGAACTGCCTCTCCAGGGAGAAGGCCATGGGGATGGTGAGCAGCGGCAGCGCCAGGCTGATGCTGTAGCGTGTGGCCAGGATGCTGAAGATCAGGTAGGGCAGGAAGAGCAGCGTGCTGTAGAGCATGTACGAGAAGGTGGGGCCGATGAGGATGGCGAGCGTGACGATGCCCGCCTCCCGGTCGGACTCTATGTCCCTGGTGTTGTTGGAATGGAGAATGGCCTCGGTGCTGAGGGCCAGGGGGATGGCGTACACCAGCGGGAAGACCGCCAGGGACCCCACCTGGACGGCGTAGGCGAACATCACGGCCAGTGGGCCGAACGTGATGAGGATGATGAGGTCTCCCAGGGCCACGTACTTGAATCCGATCCCTGTGGCCAGAAAACGCAGAGAGCTGGTGTGAGATCAAGGCCTGTGCATCTGTCAGGGACCAGCCACTCTGGCCTGGACACTGACTTCCCAGGCGAGGCGAGGGGGCCGTCACTACGGTCCTTCCCCTACAGGGACACGGAGGCCCAGAGAATACTGACCTTTTAGCGCTCAGTGCGGTTTCAGAGTCATACCCAACCCTTCCTTCCTGCTGCCCCCAACTAAACCCTGCAACAAGGAGCTGTGGTTCCCACCACACACAGCTCCACGGGAGAGCCTGAGGCTCTGAAAGGTCTCAGTCCAGTTTTTGGCTTCTTCCCTTTACCAGCCCCAAGACACCAGCTCTGTCAGTAACATGCCAGCCAGGCCCTCCCTGACTAGCCAGCCCAGTCTCTTCCTCTATAACCCTGGCAGCCATCTTCTGGTTTTGGCGCGTGCACACACACACACACACACACACACACACACACACGCGCGCGCGCACGCGCACACACACACACCCAGTGAATCTCAGTGGACCTGCAGGATTCCCTAACTCCGCTAAAGAAACCTTCAGCTGCACAGTGAGTGAAAGAGCTGAGATGGTAAGTTACACAGCGGCTTCCCCTCTCTGGTTCCCATTAAGTTAAAACTAAGTCATCCTCCTCCTGTACTGTTTGCTAATCCACTTCAAATCCTATCTGATCTACTTCCAGAAAACACATCCAGTTCCCTCCAACCCCAGGGGCACACTCTGGCCCACCTCACCCCGTCTCCAATCCAAGTAGTGGTCACTGTCTGGCTGGAATACTGCATCAACCCCCAAATGGACCCCTCGGCTTCCATTCTTATAACAACCTCCTCTCCCCTCCTTTCCTAATCTAATCTCCGACTGCAGCCAGAGTGATCCTTTAAAAATACTAACCTCATAAAAATACTAACCTGACCATGCCCACTCCCCAACCTATACCTAAAGACCTTTATCAATACATTGTCCTCGGGATAAAAGCCAGATCCTTCTCCTGGCTCCCCTCTGTCCTGCTCTGGCTCTCTCCGCTCACCTGGAGCCCTCCCTCCCTCTCCCCTCACACCTTTAGCAGTTCTGAGGCCCTGAGAGCCATCCTCCCCTCTTTGCCTGGCTGACTCCTACTCACCCTTCCAGACTACAAAGGCCATTCCTCACCCCCTCCTTCACCCCTACACCACATTCGGTCCCCTTGCAACATGTCCTGTGCACTCTGACTTCTACTTTCATAAACTCCATCACACTTCTCCTTATTTAATCTGTCTTTCCCAACAAACACTCAATCCCATGAGGGCAGGGCCTGCTCACAGCTCGCTGCCCAGCACTTGGCGCAAGGCTGAATGAACACAGAGCTACAATAACAGGCACCTGGAATATGGGGCCGAGGTCAGACAGACATGCAGCACGGACCGGGCGAGAGGTGACCCACGCATGCACTGCCACAGGAGCTTGGGAAACGCCAGACCTAACTGGGTGGGCAGTCAGACAGACATGCGCAGAGCAGAACAATGGGCCGGGCACAGGAGGTAACCAGGGCGGAAAGCCCCAGGTGCCAAGCAAAGAACGATTGTGGGGGGTCCTCACCCCCAGGGTGGCCTTTCCTCCCTAGCAGATGGCTGGTCATGAGGTTTGGACCCCTGACCTCTCCTCCCTAGAGAAGACATCCAGGCCTCAGCTGTACGTCAGCTCCAGGCCCAGAGAAGCAGCCAATCAAGACCAGAGAGCCCACGGCTGCCTCAGAGCCTCTGCCCTGAGTAACGCCCCTGCCCTGGGGCCCGCCAACCAACAGTGCAGACCCAGTCCTGACAGGACACCTGGAAAGCTGCTGGGTATCCTATTGAGGTCGTCCCCTGCAACCTTCCCTAAGATCTCCTTTAAAAAATCTTAGGCTTAGGCCCTGGCTCGTTTGGCTCAGTGGATAGAGCGTCAGTCTGCAGACCAAAGGGTCCCAGGTTCGATTCTGGTCAAGGGCACAGGCCTGGGTTACGGGCTCGGTCCAACGTGCGTGCAGGAGGCAGCCAATCAATGATCCCCTCTCATCATTGATGTTTCTATATCTCCCTTCCTCTCTGAAATCAATAAAAATATGTACATTTTAAAAAATACGAAAGATTGTTAAAAAATAATTTTTTAAAAAGGGCCCTTCCTTTACCTCCACGACTTGTTTCCTGAGCCCCTTTCCCTTAGGAGTCACTTCTTCTACCTCTGTGATTTATCGAACAAATGATCTGTGCCAGTTTGGGCCTACAGCACAGCCAGGCTGGGCCAGGTTACTCATTTCTGTGCACCAACAGCCAAGCTACAGGGCACTGCAAGGCACAGCCTCCAGAAGGGAACTGCCTTATCCCCCAAACCGACAAGGAACAAAGGTCCAGAGAGGGTCTGACTAGGCAGCCAAAGAACAAGAGTCAGCCACGGTCACCTCACATGGTCGTTGGGCTTCTTTGATGTTTGTCTCCCCCCGCCCCCTCCAGCTTTATTGCGATATAACTAACATATCACACTGAGTAAGTCTGACGTGTACACGTGTTGACTTGATACACTTACATTGCAGCATTATTCCCACCACAGCGTAAGCTAACACCTCCATCTGTCACCTAACGACCCCCCTTGGTTCCTAAGAATGCAGCGCCCAGAGGTCTGAAGCACAGCACGGCCCTGACACCCACCAGCACACAGCAGCTAGCTCTGTGCTCCCGGCAGCGCTTTGACAGATAACCTGGTTGTCTGAGGACATGCCCTCCAGGAGGAAGTTCTCTCAAGCAGAACATCAGCTCCAGTTCTAAATGAGCAAATCGATGTCTCCTGCAATCGCTCACAAGTTTGGAGGACTACAGTAATCCTCTTATCCGCGTCCAACACCCACGCGGACGCCTGAAACCACAGAGTATTGAGCCATGTACTGTATACACTGCTGGTTTCATATGCATCTGCACGTACTTTCCACTTCAAGGCAGTGCTTCATGGCTTCTCTTTGGCATATCCCGATTGCCAGCATCACTGCTCTTGTGATGGGAAAGAAAGGTCCCTCGGACACAAGCACTGCGCTATCTCTACCGTCAATGTGATGAGCAAGGCGGCTACTAAATATGGCAAATGCGCAGGGAGCGCCTACAGCCGGATATGCTGGACAAAGGATGATTCGCTTCCAGGGTGGGACAAAGCAGGCAGCACAGATTGCATCGCACTACCCAACTTAAAACGCAAATTGTTTATTTCTGGAATTTTCCATACACCATTTTTGGACCACAGCTGACCACAGCAAACTGAAACTACAGAAAGTGAACGCGCAGATAAGGGGGGGCTGCAGTACCCCCTCCCAAGGGACATGCGGGCGGGAACAGCAGATCTGGCTTCTCCCCCCGCTGCCTGCTTTCCTGCGGCCGATGTGCTCACTCTCCAAGCAGAGTTAAGGCTCTGACTACAAACGAAAACACAGCTCTAAAGCCCTGACCTCTGGCTTACCCAAGAACACCTCCTGGGATCAGCGAGCAAAACAATGAGGTGAGCCGGGACCGGTTTGGCTCAATGGATAGAGCGTCGACTTGGAGACTAAAAGGTCCAGGGTTCGATTCCGGTCAAGGGCATGTACCTTGGTTGCGGGCATATCCCCAGGAGGGGGTGTGCAAGAGGCAGCTGATCGATGACTCTCTCTCATCGGTGTTTCTAACTCTCTATCTCTCTCCCTTCCTCTCTATACAAAATCAATAAAATATATTTAAAAGACAAAAAAAAAAAAAAAACAATGAGGTGAGCAAGTTGAACAGAAACCTGTGCCTGTAAGGATAAGCCCCCACTTCAACAGGCCTTACCCCAAAACCAACCGCAAACCCACTTTAGAGGTGGAAAAGGTCTAGAACCTCCTACACGATAGCTGACCCAAGAAAATGCCAGTGCCCGTAGGAAAAGCCCAATGCCCTAAGTATCCAACAGGTGGCCCACCGGCTCCAGGGATGGGCCCACCTGGGCAATTCCTTTAAGGCATGCCACCCCTCCCAACCCCGTTTTCCACAGTGAACTATTGGGCCCGATCTCCACATCCCAGCTTGGAATGAATTTGTTAAAACAGGAATCAAAATGTTGACAAGAATGTGGAGCAACTGAAACTCTTGCATATTGTGGGAAAGAGCATTGCAATCACTTCAGAAAACACTGGCAGCTTCTCATAAACATTATCTACCCTATGACTCAACAGTTCCCCTCCTAGGCATTTACCCAAATATCCACAAACACTTGAACATGAATGTTCACACTTAACAGCCAAAATATGGAAACAAGTCAAGTGTTGATAACCAGGAAAATGGACAAACCAATTGCAGTATGTCCATCCGATGAACACTATTCAGCAATGCAAAGGAACTGCTCATGTCCATCACAACCTGGCAAATCTCCAAGCCCGTATGCTGAACAATAGAAGCCAGGCACAAGGATTCATAAGGAATGACTCCATTTCTGGGAGGTTCTAGACCAGGCAAAACAAATCTGCGTAAAAGAAATCAGGACAGCCGAAACCAGTTTGGCTCAGTGGATAGAGCATCAGCCTGTGGACTGGAAGGTCCCAGGTTCGATTCTGGTCAAGGGCATGTACCTTGGTTGTAGGGAATGTGCAAGAGGCAGCTGATCGAAGATTCTCTCTCATCAATGATTCTAATTCTCTTCCTCTCTGTAAAAAAAATCAATAAAATATATTTGAAAAAAAGAAATCAGAACACTGATTGCCTCTGGATAGGGATGGGGAGAGGGGGGTTGATGGGGAGGAAGCATCAGGAAACTTTGGAGGGTGATGGAAATGTTCTGTATCATGACTGGGTTTGGGTTATACAGCCATGTGCATCTGTCAAAATTCATCAAACTGCAACATTAAAATCTGTGCACTTCGCAGTATGACTTTTATTGCTATATAATTGACAGTGTTTAAAAAACCATAAAATGAGATTATGTTATTACTCTGCTCAATATATTTTATTATCTCCCCATTTGTTCATTCGGTGAATACTAAGTACTGACTACAAGCCAGACACTGTTCTGGGCACCAAGGGTTCAGAGACCACAGGGAGTTTGCAGTCTAAGAGGGAAGATAACTAACAAAGTACTTACTCGTGTTAAAAGGTAGTATGTGCTGTGATGAAAAAGCTGAGAAGAGCATGAGGGCAGGTTGGGGGAATGGGACACTGGGTGTACTGCATGTTTGTGTAACTTTATTTGTTTATCGGCTGCTGCAAAAAGCATTGTTTTGTAACTTTAAGGAGGGTAGAAAGCAAGGCCTCCCTAAACAACTGACAAATGGGGAGAGTAGGTTAGGAATGGAATCATACAGATAGAAGTGGGGGAAGCATTCTAAATCCAGGAAACAGGATCTTCAAAGGGTCTGTGAGGCAGGAGCGTTCTGGTGTGTCTCAGAAACAGCAGGAGGGCAGGAGGGCAGAGGGCTGGAGCATGTGCGGAGGAGGAAAGAAAGAGGACAGACCAGAGTGGGGAGACTGGAGAAGATGGGAAGACAATGGCCCTGGGATCATTGTCAAGACCTCGGCCTGTATTCTGGACATGATGGGAGCCCCTGCCCGAACGGGCAGGGCTCGGTGGTTGAATGCTGACCTATGAACTAGGAGGTCATGGTTCCATTCCCAGTCAAGGCATGTGGTCAGAGCACATGCCCAGTTTTCAGGCTCGATCGTGTGTTCAGGAGGCAGTCAATCAATGATTCTCTCTCATCATTGATGTTTCTATCTCTGTCCCCCTTCTTCTCTGAAATAAAAACATATTTAAAAAAAAAAAAAAAAAAGATGGAAGCCATTGGAGAATTCTGAGCAGAGGACTGATGTAACTGCCTATTCTAATGGGATTACTCTGGCTGAGAACACCCTGACAGGGACATGAGTGGGTGCACAGATATCAGTAAAGAACTTGCCAAAATACTCAAGGGAAATAAGCATGGCAGTGGTGAAAGGTGGTGGGCAAAGGTCAGATCCCAAGTACATTTTAAAGTAGAGTCAACAGGATTTGCTGATGAGCTGATGCAAGATGTTGGGATGATGCCTGTGAAGTACTAAAAGGAAGAAGTTTGGCTCCCTGGATGGAGCGTCGGCCTGCGGACTGAAGGGTCCCAGGTTCGATTCCAGTCAAGGGCATATACCTTGGTTGTGGGTAACAATCCCCAGTGAGGAGTGTGCAGGAGGCAGCTGATCGATGATTCTCTCTCATCAGTGTTTCTCTCTATTCCTCTCCCTTCCTCTCTGTAAAAAATCAATAAAATATATATAAAAGAAAGAAGTTGCCACTGAGTGAGCAGGGGGGAAAGCTGCGGAAGAGCAGGTTTCTTCGGGGAGAAGATCAGGAATGGATTTCAGGCGAGCTTAGCTGAGATGCCTGCAGACCTCTAAGAAAGTTACCGAGTCAGAAGCTAAGCAGGAGCCTGGAGTTTAGCCGAGAGATCTGGGCCAGAGGATAAATTTGAGTCACCAGTTTAACAGATAGCATCTGAAGCCATGGGACTGGCTAAAATCACAAAAGGAGTAACTGGAGACAGAGGAAAGAGACCTCAGGACTAAGCCTGCACGCTGGGAAGGAGGAGAAACCCGCACAGATGACTGAGGCCCTAGACCAGCGTGACGCAGCCCCCGTCTGCCTCTCCAACTACATCTCCATTCTCCCTCTCCAACACCTTGGCCTCGCAGTAGATCCTAGTCGAGCTTTCTCCCCATCCAGTGCGTTAGCATTTGCTGCTCCTTCAGTCTTGAAGAATCCGGCACCTGAATCAGACCCAATTCTGCCGAGAATGGCTCCTTATCCTTCAAGTCTTAGTTTAAGTGTCACCTTCACAGAGAGGGCCTTTTCCCTGAGCAAATCTCTACCCCCTTATACATCCTGTTACAGCATCCATTCCCTTCACTGAACTTCCTACAAGCGGCTGCCAGGACACCAGTCTCTTGGTCTTCTTTCTCCTCCAGACGCTCCACCACTCCCTTTACTGTTCCTTCTCTTCTCCCCACCTTTTTAAAATTTTTTAAAAAAATTAATTTCAGAGAGAAAGGATGAGAGAGAAATAGAAATATCAATGATGAGAAAGAATCATTGATCAGCTGCCTCCTGCACACCCCCCACTGGGGATCGAGCCCACAACCCAGGCATGTGCCCTTGACAGGAATCAAACCGGCAACCCTTCAGTCCGCAGACCAATGCTCTATCCACTGAGCCAAGCCGGCTAGGGCTTCTCCCCACCTCTTAACATCAGAGTGCCCCAGGGCTGTCCTGGTCCCCCTCACACCTATCAACACTCCCTCCTCTGCTGGTCTCACCCAGCTGTACAACTTTATGTGCCAATGATCCCCAAATATCTTTATCTCCAGCTCAGACCTCTCCCTGGACTCACTGTTATATTCACTTGACATCTCCACTTGGAGATCTATAATACTATATTAAGAGGCTCTGTCAATTATCTCTCCCAAAACCTACCTTCAGCTTTCTCTATCTCACCTGAAATCAACTCCATTATTCAAGTTGCTCAGGCCAAAACCTCGGAGTTATGCTTAAATCTGCTTTCTCTCCTGCCTCACATCCCATCTGTCAGCACACCCTGCCTTACTACTTCTTCCTCTCCACTGCCAACCTGATCCGAGCCACCAAACATCTCTGCCTGGTTACTCAACAGCTCCCTTCTCCTCCGTCTCCCCGCTTGTGTCCTTGCTCACTCCCTTTATCCCTTCTCAACACCTTAGCCAGAGTGATTCTTTTAAAACATTAAGGCCTACATAATCTTTGTGCCTCCCTGACCTCCCCAAACATACTTCTCCACTTCCTCTCACTTTCTCTCTCCCTCACCCTCAATTCCATGCTGTTCCTCAAACTTTTCAGGAACATCCCAGCCTTAATGCCTTTGGCAATTGCCATCCCAAGATTTTGGGACACTCTGCTCAGCCAACGCCCTCACTTCTTACCGCCTCGATTTTTGCCGTTACCTTTTTGATGCGTCCCCCCTCCTGGCTCTACTTGCTATTTCTCTCCATAGCACCAATCATCTTTTCATGTACTGTCATCAGGGCACCAACTCAGCCTAACCTACCAGGGACTTCCCTGGTTTCAGCACCCAGAGTCCCACATCCTGGGGACCCCCTCAGTCCTGAGCAAACCAGGACACTGGTCAACCTAACTACAATTTACTATTTCTGCTTTCTGTCTCTCCTCGTCATCTTTAAAGTAACTTTCACAAGAGCAGGGATCTGGGACTGCTGTGTTCCCAGAGAACAGTGCTGGCACATAATAACTGTTCGACAAACAGAGCTTAGCCAACAACCATCACCACCTTAATCAGCTGTACAGTTGTGAGTGCTTTGAAGTTAATTCCACTAAAATCTGGAACTGTTGCATTATAAGATGTGGCCAACAAAAAGAAATTACATACAAAAAGTTTGCATATATTTGGAAATTATATATATATGTATATATATGTATGTATGTATGGATGGATGGATGTTATATATATGTTAACATCCTGGCTTGGCTTATGGATGTTAGAAATTATATGTAATTACATATAATTTCTAACATCCATAAGCCAAGCCAAGATCTTCTCAACCCACTCTTGTTTTCCAAATAATCCACATAACCCACAGACTATAGATTTCACCTAAGTGGCCTGAGAAGAGAACTTTGGATCCCACTCTTTTGACATTCCCACACAAAGCAGCAGTTTCCAGTCCATGCAGCTGAGACCTCCGGCACAGGGACCGGGCCAGCCCTTACCTCCCGTGTAGAGGAAGGAGCCAGACAGGCCTCCAAAGTAGATGAGCGCCAAGTGCTCCAGTTTCAGAGGGGACAGGTAGTAGAGGCACGCGGCACAGACGCAGCCCAAGGTGTAGAGGAAGACTCCAAACCGGACAACGTCCTGGGGCTCCAGGATCCGGTCCACCAGGGTCCGGTCATCGCTCTTTTTGTGGTCAATGCCCTTGGAAAAGTCATAGTACGTGTTGACCAAGTTGCCAGCCCCGTGCACCGCCAGGACGGCCACGGCGCAGCCCACCAGCAGCCGGGGGTCCAGGACGCCCTGGGACTGGTAGGCCAGGGCGCTGCCCAGGGCCACCGGCGTGAGCGAGGCGCTGAAGCTCCAGGGCCGCAGGGCCAGCACGTAGGAGGCGCACTTCTGCCTCCAGGAGCGCGGCGCGGGCTTGTCCCACTCGGGACAGTCGCTCCCCAGCGGATCCCGGTCCCCGGCCTGGGCTGCCTCTCCCGCCTGGATGCTGATCTTCTCCCCCGGGGCCTGCGAGGTCGCCATGGAGGTGCACGTGGCTGAAGTTCACGCGGACAGTGAGCCACCCACAGATCGGCGACGGCGGTGGGACTGGGATGGGACGGGGAGGGGAGGGGCGACCAGCCTGACCTTCCCTCGGTTCCGCCCCGGGGCAGGGCTGGGGGGGCAGCGGGGCCCCGGGGCAGCAGCGAGCGGGCCTGGCGCCCCAGGAGCACCGCTCGGCCCTCCAGTCACCTACGTGAAACCCGCCTCCGGGCCCGGCGCGGCGCTAGAGCCCAAAGCCGAGAGGAGACCACCTCCCCGGAGTTACCGGCACCGCCATCTTGTGCGCCCGCCTCTGGGGGCCGGAGGGAAACAGGGGCCCCGGCGCTGGCGGGCCGGGCCGGAGGGGCCGGGGCGGGGCCAGGAAGAAGGGAGGGGCGGAGCCCAGAGGGCGGGGCGGGGCCCGGAGGGCGGGGAGGGGCCCGGAGGGCGGGGCGGGGCCCGGAGGGCGGGGCGGGGCCCGGAGGGCGGGGCGGGGCCCGGAGGGTGGGGCAGCCCTCTCTCTCCCAGGTATGTGCCTGCCCTGCAGCAGCTCTGAGACTGGCCTAGCATCACACAATCCACCACAAATGCATGTGGCTGGCTTTTCGACTTACCAAGAGCTTTCTTGCACCGAAATAGGACGCATTCATTGTCTTCATGCAGTATGCGCACTATTGCACGCAGCAATTAACAAAACCAACTAAAATCCGGGAGCATATTGAAGAGATAAGAAAAGTATAATTATCCCCGTTTTTTCAAAAGAGAAACTCGAAGCTCTGAAAGGGTAAATGATGTCTAAGAAATTATTAACTCTAGCCGAAACCGGTTTGGCTCAGTGGTAGAGCATCGGTCTGTGGACTGAAAGGTCCCGGGTTTGATTCCGGTCCAGGGCATGTACCTTGGTTGCAGGCACATCCCCGGTAGGGGGTGTGCAAGAGGCAGCTGATCCATGATTCTCTCTCATCGATGTTTCTAACTCTCTATTCCTCTCTCTTCCTCTCTAAAAAATCAATAAAATATTATTTTAAAAGAAAGAAATTGTTAATTCTAATAATAATCACGACAGCAAAAACTCTCACTTCCTATTGTGCAGCTTCCAGTGGCATAAACTGCCCTGCCTGTTCATAACACACAAATAGCTGCCCTTCCCGCCCTACTAGGTAGCTGGCTGGGTGTCTTCATTGCCCACCTTCTGGGAGCTTGGGGAGCTCCTGTCTGGGGAGAATTGGTTGTTAAATTGTTAGTAGTTTTGTGAGCCAGTCACTAAACACAGCCATTATTAAAAATCAAACGACACAAACTTACAGTTAATTAAATTATCTATGTAATATATATATATATAACCTTAATATGCAAATAGACCGAATAGCAGAACAACCAGTTGCTATGATGTGTGCTGATCACCAGGGGGCGCATGCAGAACATGGCAGGTGTAGGCAGCAGGTGAGATGGCAGAGCAGGTGAGCGGGGGCACCAGACTAAGGCAGGTGCTGGTTGCTGTCATCAGGACGAGCCTCTGGCAATTATTGAAAATTCTTTGCTCCTACGAGCTGCAGTCCTGCCTGGCACTTGCACCTGCTGACAGCACCAGTCTTACTCCCACCTGTTGTTGGCACTGGCCCCAATCACTCTGCATCATGAGCAGGATCAGCACTGTCAGCACATGGGAGTGGCAGTGATGGGAGTGGGGCTGCCGGCAGACAGGGAATTGGGGGGCCAGGTGGGGGCACAGAGGATGGGCTGAGACCCGTGCCTGAGCCCACCAAAACCTCGCAGCCTACAGTTCCTTTCAAGGTGCATGAATTCGTGCACTAGGCCCCTAGTATTAAAATAAAAGTAACTAATAAGCTAATTACTACATTTTATCATTTATGCTCTTTAGGTTGTTCATATTTGTTTTTGTGTTTTTTCACATTTGTTTTTGTTTGTTTAATGTTTTTATTGATTTTAGAGAGAGAGGAAGGGAGTGGGTAGAGATATAGAAACATCCATGAGAAAGAAACATCGTGGATTAGCTATCTCCTATACATCCCCTACTGAGAATCAAACCCAAAACCTGGGCATGAGCCCTGACCTGAAATTGAACCAGTGATCTCTCGGCTCATGGGTCCATGCCCAGTCACTGAGCAACACCGGCTGTGCTGTTCACATTTGTTGTATCTGCGTTGTGGAAATACTATATAATAAGATGCTACTGCTTATTTACATCTCTTGCCAGCGTTTCATTCAGTGACATTCATTGGTAGTTTGGAATCTGCCATAGCGGGAATATTTATGCCATGCAAACCAGCAAATGCCTGATAATAGTTTTGTTCATTGAGACTACAATAACTAAAAAAAAAAAGTTTATCATGCAGGTTAAACTTAAAAGTGTCAACTCTAGCGAAAACCGGTTTGGCTCAGTGGATAGAGCAATGGTCTGCGGACTGGAAGATCCTGGGTTCGATTCCGGTCAAGGGTATGTACAATGGTTGCGGGCACATACCCAGTGGGGGGGGGGGGTGCAGGAGCAGCTGGTCGATCTTTCTCTGTCATCGATGTTTCTAGCTCTCTATCCCTCTCCCTTCCTCTCTGTAAAAAAATCAATAAAATATAAAAATAAAAATAAAAAAGTGTCAACTCTATAGCCCTTACATTTTGAATAGCAGCAAAATATAAGGAAATATTCTTCCAATATATATTTTTTATTTTTTTAATATATTTTATTGATTTTTACAGAGAGGAAGAGAGAGAGAGTTAGAATCATTGATCAGCTGCCTCTTGCATGCCCCCTACTGGGGATGTGCCCACAAGCAAGGTACATGCCCTTGACCGGAATTGAACCCGGGACCCTTCAGTCCACAGGCTGATGCTCTATCCACCGAGCCAAACCGGTTTCGGCTATTCTTCCAATATTAGCAAATTATTATCCAGTTCGGCAAAGAAGTTTTCATGTCATTGACAAACTAGTGAAATTTCAAGGTATCTTTTAATTGTCTTACTTTCCCCTTACTCATTAACATAAAAGAAAATATCAACCAACATTCATGTTGGAACTATACTCATTGGTCAACTGCCACTATAGAGAGGCTATACGAGATATTTATTATATATAAAAGAATCCTGTTAGAATCAATTGGCGATATGGAATTTACAATAAGAAGTATTGTGGCTCAGTCAGTGTGGCTCAGTTGGTTGAGCATTGTCCCATGGACCAAGAAGTTGCCAGTTTGATTCCCAGCCAAGGCTCATGCCTGGGTTGCAGGCTCAATCCCCAGTAGGGGGCCTGCAGGAGGCAGCCAATTGATATTTCTATCTCTCCCTCTTCCTTCCTCTCTCTATAAAAACAATAAAAACATTTTTTAAAAGTATTATGTATTTTATTATTTGTAAGTTGTATCCTATACATCCTTTATGTCAATGAAAGTTATACTAAAATATAACATATATGTACACATGTACACAGGACTGACTGCATAATTTTGGTACCCAGTGCAAAATAAAAACGTGTGGCCCCTTCTTAAAAATCATTAAGAATTTCATGACAGAGCATTATAACCTCACAGGTCACAACAGCCACAGAGAGGAAGAGAGAGAGAGAGAGAGAGTTAGAATCATTGATCAGCTGCCTCTTGCATGCCCCCTACTGGGGATGTACCCACAAGCAAGGTACATGCCCTTTACAGGAATCAAACCCGGGACTCTTCAGTCCACAGGCTGATGCTCTATCTACTGAGCCAAACTGGTTTCGGCTATTCTTCCAATATTAGCCCTGTATAGACATGCATGGTCCCTCCCTTACCAGCTAGCTGGTTAATTTGCAACTTCAGCAACCAGCACATACTTGTACTTGCAAACCCAAGTAACCAATACAGCCAAATGGGACACGAGGAAGAAGCAGATGTTTTTTTAACTCCTCCCTTACCACTTCTATGACCCAATCCTTCTATATGTCATTTTACTCAAGGATAAAATATAAAGTGGGGACAATACAACCTGCCTTGTAGGAAATGTTCAGAAAGAACAATAACAGTATTTATTGACTCTGCATGTGTCATGTAGTGTTTTAGGTACTTTACATAAAGTAGCATTTAACCCCTACAACAGAGCCTACCAAGGTAATGTGGACACTCGATAATTTTGGGAAAGTAGTAAATCTAAGTAAAAAACTTTTCACATACATGTTACATTTAACAAAAGAGAAATCACGGTCCCATGAACCCGAAAATTTACGTCTTTTCCTCCTGTTGTGGCTCACACTCTCATAATTAAACCTTCGCCTCCTACCGCCCAGTCCCAGCCCGAGTACCCAGAGAGCGGACTAGACGGGGCCGCACCCCCAGGGCCGGGGGGAACTATAGTAGCGACGGACCGGATGTGTGCATGGAAGTGACTGGAGTCAACTCACGACTGATTGGTTCTCTCGAGTAGCCCTGAGCCTCCTTTCGTCTGCCACTGGCCGCGTGGTTTGTCTATTTGAACAGTCCCCGCCCCCTAGAGAAGCCGGGTCCCGGAGCTTCACTTCTCCTTCATTCCTATTGGCCAGTGTTCCAGTCCATCGTCTTCTCCCGCCTGTCGATTGGTCGTCAGAGCTGGGCACCTGCCCGCCCTCCCGCGGCTAGAGGACAGCGGGGAAGGCGGGTGGTGGGGCCGGGGGCCTGAGGCGGCGGGAACGGCGCTGTGGGCGGCAGCTGAGGCCTCGGCCGAAGCCGCGCGGTGAGTCCCGGGCCTGGCACCGACCCCTCCCGGGCGGCGGAGTGTCCAAACCCGCAGCCAGAACCCACGGTCCGGTCCGGGGCGGGGGGACGGGGAAGCCGCCCGCCGGGACGTGGGGCGCCCTCAGAGCCGGCACCCCGGAGCTGAGCGCCGCCGGAGCCTTGACCTCCACCCTGTGGGGCAGCGCCTCCTCTTCCCTGATTCCCGGGAGACCCCGACCTTGGAGGCCGCCGTGCGCCTGTGGCGCCGCCAAGGCCGGCCCAGCGCCCCGGTGCTGCCGGGACGCCCGCCTGTCGGCCCCGTGC